AGTGGCCGGGAGCGGCCACTGCACTTCAGTCTGGGTGACAGAGTAAGACTCCAACTCAAAAAAAAAAGGAAATATTGATAAATTAGACATCAACAAAATTAAAAAACTTCTGCTCTGCTGAGAGAATGAAAAGACAAGCTACAGACTGGGACAAAATATTTGTAAATTACATATCCAACAAAGGACTAGTACCTAGAATATATAAAGATCTCTAAAATCTCAACATTAAAAAAGCCAATAATCTTATTCAAACAGGAGCAAAAGACATGAAGAGTCATATCACCAAAGGTAAATAAGTAGCAGATAAACAAAAAGATGTCCTTGTCAAATAAAACTACTTCAATCAGATTTTTTTAAAAAAGAGATTAACTTCAGGATGGTTAGAGATAAAGGTGAAAGTCAAATCTATAAGATGTTAGAAGAACACACAGGAGAAGAATATCTTTATATAACGTTGGGATAGAAAAAAAATTTCTTAATTCTAAAAAATCACTCTGACTATGCAGTATTATTAGCAAAATACAATTCCTGGAGCTGAAACTTTTTTTTTTTTTTTTTTTGAGTTGGGGTCTCATTCTTGTCATCCAGGCTAGAGTGCCCACTGAATGCAGTGGCATGATCATGGCTCACAGCAGTCTCAAACTCTTGGGCTCAAGCAATCCTCCCACCTCCACCTACCAAGTACCTGGGACTACAAGTGTGTGCTATCACGCCTGGATAATTTTTTTGTTTTTTGTAGAGATGAGGTCTCACTATGTGGCATAGGCTGGGCTCAAACTCCTGGGCTCAAGCAGTCCTCCCTCCTCAGCCTCCCAATGTGTTGGTATTACAGGCATAAGTCACTGTATCTGGCCTGACCTGTCTATAATATCTCCACTTCTGAATCTATATCTTTCTCTCTTTTTTTTTAACTTAAATAAAACAAGGTCAATAAAGATTTTAAATATATATTATTTAGGGGCTCGTATATTTAAAAGATAAGAGTTTATGTTAAAAAAGCAAAACAAAAAACTCACAGTTCCTCCCATTCCTTTTTTCGCTGTTGAATCTTAAGTTGGGCCCTTTCAGCTTTTAAAATAAGTTGCTTTGTTTTCTCGATTTGATTTTCCACCATAATTTCACTTAGGGTTTTAGGTCGAAATTTCTTCCCTTTTTCTATTACAGAGTCTTCTTGTATGCTAATACTCCTACCTATACAGAGAATTAACATTTCTTTCAGTCTTTCTGAGACATAAAAGCAAAACTCTCAAATATCATTTTCAACTTACCACATTAAAAAATTCAGAGAATTTCTTGAATTTATAACTCAAAGTATTTATTAAGCAACTACTATAAATCTTTACAAATCTATAAAGTACAGTGGAATGCCAAAATAAAAATTTCTAAGTCACAATTTTTGCTCTTAAGAACCTTATTAAAACGTTGGCAAGATAAGACATACATTTAACAATTAGAGAACAAGATAAATAACAATGGACTACTAATAGACATTGGGAAGCTGGGAAGGAGTGTTTGTGATATGATGGCAAGGTAAGGGAAAGAAGCAGGGGAGTCCTACTTGACACACGCAATTTGAGATGGCATATACCAACTGAAGTGCCCTGCAGCCAATTGAAACACTAGTCAGAAACACAGAATCAAATATATGATGCTATCAGTTAATAAGTATCTACTGGAGAATTACTCTATTCATATTCAAGCTATATGAAGATACACTTTAGGCAGGCCCCCAGTGCTTTGGGAGGCAGGGGTGTAAGGATTGCCTGTGCCCAAGGGTTCGAGACCAGCCTGGGCAACTTGGCAAGACCTCATCTCTACAATAATTTTTTTTAAAAAGTAGCCAGGCATGGTGGCATGTGCCTGTAGTTCCAGTTACTTGGAAGGCTGAGGCAGAAGGATAGCCTGTGGTCAGCAGGTCGAGTTGCAGTGGCTGTGAGCGTGCCACTGCACTCCAGCCTGGGTAACAGAATGAGACTCCAACTAAAAACAAAACAAAAACAACAAAAAAGAAGATACTACTGGCCAGGCACAGAGCCTCTTGTCTGTAATCTCAGTACTTTGGGAAGACAAGATGGTAGTATCGCTTGAGGGCAGGAGTTCAAGGCCAGCCTAGGCAACATAGTGAGATGCAGTCTATACAAAATAATTGTCTGGGCATGGTGGTGTAAGCCGTAGTCCTAGCTAGTGAGGCTAAGACTGGAAGATTACTGGAGGCTAGGAGTTCAAGGCTGCAGTAAGCTATCATCCCACTACTGCCCTCCAGCCCTCGCGACAGAGTGAGATTCTGTCTAAAAATAATTAATAATAAAAAACATAACAAGTGTGGAAAAACACAGAATAGGGAGAGATTGTGAAAGGATTAAACACCAGGATAATGGTTTCAGAATGTACTCTAGAACCAGAAAGGAGACGTTAATGATTCCTCATATTAGTATTGTATCTTGGGCAATAGCCTAGATCTGGCTAGGCTACAGCACTTTTTATTTATTCTTGACCGGGCTCTCCAAACCATCCCGCAGAATTCTTGTCCTAGTCTACTCATCTGCAGTCATCTTGGGAGCAGCCACAAGAAACAAGTTGCAAGGATTATTTTCCCACCTGTATTCTCAGCTCATTCTGTTTAAAGCATGTGTTCTTGGAAAATACTTCAAAATGCAATGTTTTAGCCCCACATTCTGGGGAGTGGCTCAGGAATTTGAAAAGGAACATTGCCTAGAACCAGGCATCTGGGGAAATCCTAGCTTTCAGAATTGATGTAGCAAGTGAGAAAATGGCAGTATCCAGTACTCTCCCCACTCTGTCAAGTAACAAGGGCACGTTTTCTTCAGCAGCCTGTACGAAATAGGAAAGGGGGCATGGAGGGTTTCCTCCCTCCCTTCCTTTCTTTTTGAGTCAGGGTCTCACTTTGTTGCCCAAGCTGGAGTGCAGTGGCACAATCACGGCTCACCACAGCCTCCACCATCTAGACTCAAGCAATCCTCCTGCCTTTCCTTCTCCAAGTCCTGGGATTACAGGCATGAGACACTGCACCTGAGAGGCATGGAAATCTATTGAAGAAGCGTGGCCTCTCATTCTCAGTCATACCACATACCCCTATCTTTCTTGATTTTTTGTTCCAAAGGAGACCATCATGGAAGGAAGGAGGATAAGAGTCTGAGTTCAAGCCACCAAAGAAAGTTCAATGGTTCCGCCCACACACACACACAAAATTTAAAATAAATTATAAAAATTAAAATTCAGTTTTGAAGTCTTCATACACAAGAATTTGTTTATAAGCCTTCTTGTAATTCAGGCTACCTATATCTCTCTGGCTCTCCCTTCTTCCAGCTCCTTCTTTTTCAAACCTCTCAAATTTGCTCATTCTTCTTTCTGATTGACTTGTTCGTTGGAGTCTGGAATACCTAGAGGGCCGCACCAGCCTATAAGAGGTTATCTTGTGGTCACTTTGTATGGCACGAACCACAATAGTATCGCTTTCCAATGGATCACGAAATCTGAAAAAATAAAACATGTATTTGCAACAGTTACCACTTTGCTCATTTTGCATAATTACTAGGTAATAAAAAAATTCCCCACATTTAAACTGGAAAGCAGGAAGCTCAGGAAGATAGCAGCAGCAGTGACAAGAAGGTTCCTTGCAATTTCAAGCCAGGGAGCACTTCAGTAGGCCCCTTACCTGGCCACTTCATTGGTACCACCATAAGTGACGTTATTCAAATATGTGCTCTCAAACATCTTGACTTTAGGAAATATGGATCCTACCTATTCTGTAGCTTCATTAGGTGAAGTTCACATTTCTCTTTTTCCCAAGCTAATTCCTTTTCCACTTGTAGAATTTTGAAAGCTGTTTTTTTGTCAATCTCAGCACGAATTTTGGAATCTACATCAAAATCCTACAGATAAGTAGATTTGTTCATCAACTTGGGTACTTTATCAATCCTCTCTTTCATAAAGGTACAGATTTCAAAGTTTTGACCTCAATTTCATGCTGCATCATAACTCTCCCAAATATCATAATGTGGCTCCATTACAAAAGAAAAAATAGCATCCTTTTGGCTTTACCTCCACAATATGTGAAGAAAAGTTCTCAGAAATTAACAATAATACAAACAAAGTTATACATTAAAAGTTTTTTTTCCTAAGGGTACCCACACTTTACCTGTATGATGACCACATATGTACTTAACCCTCATTGGTACCCCACATTTTAAAAAGAAAATAATTTTTTTTAAAGATTTTTTTCCACAATAAAAGTAGTGAATGCTATCTATATTTGGGGAGTTTACTAAGTTTTTAAAACTACTCCCCTTCTCAAAGAAAATACTATTACATAACTGGCTGGGCACATGGTAGACATTCATGTCAGCTATCATTAGCTGAACATTTCCTCTGGCGTGACCCCAGCCAGGAAAGATGGCAGTTGTTGGTATCTTCTTGACATCACCAAGTTTTTGTTGGATGTCCTTCACCAAGGAGTCCATTTTTTCCCATAAAGATACTTAGGGAGCTTATGTTTTTTACTTTCATCCCTGGAAAAATATCAGTCTGCAATTACCCTAAACTGTGAGTAGTGTTATTCTTTCCAGAAGTGTTTATGTTTTATTTAAGTAATTATGCGTGCAAAATGCTTGATACTTGCCTCCATTGTTCTTTATATCCAGTTTTTTTATTTTATTTTAAATATGTGGGGTACAATTCAGGATTAGTTATACAAGTGGTCATTGTACAGGTAAAGTCTGGACCTCCCTTTGGTCCTCACTTTGCCTGGTTTGAGATCAGGTACTAAATTATATCACCCAAACTATGGAAGTGTCAGCATTTTTCTTAGGTAAATAGCATAAAGGCCTTTTAACCACCATGAATTGGCATTTTAACTAATATGAGTTAATCAATTTGATTTCATCAAAGCATTTTTCATATGAAATTGGCAAAATGCTTCTGGAATTACAGGACTGGGTAAGCCATGGGTATATTCAGAATGATACATTCTGGGTTTTTACTTGATTAGATACTTACTAGTAATTCCATTTAGGAGGAGGTACAAAATGCGAAAAATAAATCACTAGCAGGTACATGGGCTTTTAAGAAGTCTTAAAAGAAAAATTAGCAAACTGAGTATCACATATTCTCACTCATAAGCAGACCTTGAACAATTATTGTAATACTGTAAGAAAAGGATTGGCAGTAGTCGAAAACTGCCAGGGGAGTGGGGGCACACCTCATTAACAAGGGTACCTGCATAATGAACATTTGTATACCTAACCCTGAATTGTACCCCATATCTTTAAAATAAAAAATTTAAAAATAGATAAAAAGGAAAATTAGCAAATACAAAATTGGCTTAAACAATTGTGTGATTACCCCTATTATAGCTACAACTATACTAAGTCATTTTTAAAGAAATTTTGCAGACCAACCAGTTACTGTCTTTGCAAGATATCTGATGAATTACAGAAATGCAACCACAGAGAATCAAATTATACATGTATCTACCCATGATACTTTGGCTAGGTACAACAAGGGCTGATAAGCAGATCCAAACTGATATTTATATCTTATCTTGTTAGCAAAAAAAGTGAGGTAATCACAGTAATCAACTTTGTATTATGTAAAGAGGATCATTTGCTTCCAAATCAAGTAGTGTGTCGAGTTCTATACATATTGTATTTAGTTTAGTTGCTGCAAACATATTGATTGGCCAGATAAAAGAAAGCTTAGAGATGATCTTAAGTGTTTCTACTTGTTAGCAAAATCATAGTCTTGATACAGAAATAGCATATGTTAAAACTAAAATCAGCCAGGCTCGGTGGCTCAGCCTGTAATCCTGCGCCTTTGGGAGGCTGAGGTGAGTGGACTGCCTGAGCCCGCGGGTTCGAGACTCACCTGGGCAGTGAGACCTCATCTCTACAATAAATCAAAAAATCAGCCGGGCATGGTAGCACATGCCTGTAATTCCGGCTACTGGGAAGGCTGAGGCGGAAGGATCGCCAGAGCCCAGCAGGTCGAGGCTGCGGTGGCCAGAAGCAGCCACTGCACTCCAGACTGGGTGACAGAGTGAGACTCCAACTCAAAAAAAAAAGACAACAACAACAACAACAAAACCAAAAAAACTAAAATCAAATTTATTTTAGGCTTACTGTCCGTTTAAACTGCATATGCTTTGGTAATTTCTCATTCATTTCTAATAGTTTGCAAAACTCATCCCTCAGAGCTTTAAGCTGCTCTCTCTTCATCGTCTTTATTTCTTCCACTTCTTTCATTAACTTATCATGTTCTCTTTTTCTCCGAGCATTTTCAATACTGAAAACAGAAATTTAAACCAGTAACAGGTTATGATACAGAAACAGCATAAGAGAAAGTAGTTAATAATTTGGAAATTCACTTAGCTTGGTCGACTTCTGCAAAATGTTGGTTTATTTTGCAAAAACCCAGGCCTAGTTTGTATTTCTCAAAAATTCTCATACCTGTAGGCTTTGGGATCGTCAATATCTTCAGGAATGGCCTCTGTTTCAATTCCAATCTATAAGAAGGGAAGTAAAAGGTTAGCCCTTTAAAATTGCATATTTCCCTTAATAACTTGGAAGAAGTAAATTGAAGGATTATGTTTTGTTTCGTTTTCCCTGCCATTTCTAACAACTGTAAGTCTGAAAAGTAGTTTCACAAAAAACAAACTAGGGGAAGAAAAACTGCAGTTGACCAAATTTGTTTGTTTCTGCTTCATTTATTGTGGAAAATCATGTTTGCAAAATGTTAATATTACATAATTCCCTTTCAAAATGTGAATTAATACTCATGTGCTATTAATACAGATTTCACAAAAAGATTTCTAGATCATTTATTTCAAAACGCTATTTTTCAGCATATCTATTTATTAGATGTATAACTCCCCAAAATACCTCAGCGTGTCTAGAAAGATTTTGAAGTATACATATTTTTAAATTTTAAGTAAGCATTTTATATGACTTTATCAAAAGAAGACATAGAGTGAAAATATAAAAGACAATATAATTTCCATCCTTGAGAAAGAAAGATATGAAATCAGAAATATAAATCTCCCTTTAGAAAGGAAATTAGCCGGGCTCGGTGGCTCAGCCTGTAATCCCGCGCCTTTGGGAGACTGAGGTAAATGGCTTGCCTGAGCCTGCAGGTTCGAGACCCGCCTGGGCAACTTGGTGAGACCTCATCTCTACAATAAATCAAAAATTAGCTGGGCGTGGTAGCACGCACCTGTAGTTCCAGCTACTCGGAAGGCTGAGGAGGAAGGATCGCTGGCACCCAGCAGGCAAGGCTGCGGTGCCCGGGGGCAGCCACTGCACTCCAGTCTAGGCGACTGAGTGAGATTCCAACTCAAAAAAAAAAAAAAAAGAAAGGAAATTAGACTGGACACAGTGGCTCATTTCTGTAATCCCAGCACTTTGGGAAGCTGAGGCAGGAGAACCACTTGAGCCCAGAAGTTTGATACCAGCCTGGGCAACATAGTAAGACCTCATCTCTACAAAAAAAAATCAACATATAATAGGGTATGGTGGCATGGTCTTGTAGTCCTAACTACTCAGGAGGCTAAGGTAGAAGGATAGCATGAGCCCAGGAGGTTGAGGCTGTGGTGAGACATGATTGTGCCACAGCATGCCAGCTTGAGTGACAGAGTGGAGATCAGACTCAGGGGAAAAAAAGAAAAAGAAAGGAAATCAGTTTAAGAGGAATTAAGAAGTAAATCACTTAAAAATACTTAGTTTATTCAGGTGCTGTGCTGTAAAATGTCTTGGTCTGTGATGTTAAGGAAGAGAAATAACCCAGAACAAAAGCAAACCAAGAGTCTTAGTTGGCTAATTAGTTTTTAAGTAAAACTAAATTTGTTTATTCTCTATTCTCTTTCATAATAGATAGGTCTCTGTTTTGCCGTCATTCACTGTAAAGAAATAAAGACTCCTTTTTTATCAAATTGTTTTATTACAGTCCTTATACATATGAAATATAAATCTACACATTTTTATGGAAGTCAAGGTTTATGACTAATGAAAGTGAAACCATAAAACATAACCAATATAAGAGACAATAAGCCGGGCGTGGTGGCTCACATCTTTTTTTTGCTTGTTTGTTTGTTTTGTTTTTGTTTTGTTTTGTTTTTGATTTTGAGTTGGAGTCTCACTCTGTCTCCCAGACTGGAATGCAGTGACCGCTCCCGGCCACCGCAGCCTCGACCTGCTGGGCTCCGG